GAATCGACTATCTCTCTTTCTCTCACAAAAAGATTTGCACACGCTGCAGTTAGCCTCTATAGAACCAATGATTCTCTCTGACCACCACCCAATTATGATGACTATCAACTTCCCGACGCTCCTTACACATCCAAAAACATGGAGATTAGATCCCTTTCTCCTTACTGACTCCGACGTTACCCGTCAAATACGGGATTCTCTGACCAATTACTTTAAAAGAAAACATGTCTCTGGAAACGTCTCCTCGCATTCAATGGGAAGCACACAAATGTGTGATACGTGGACTCTTGCTTTCTATCTCGGCCTCCCGTAAACATGTAGCCCAAGCTTCTTTCAATTCCTTACTGCAAAAAGTTAGGGAATTGGAAGCGTCATAAGCGCTCGAAGGCTGTAGACTCTGTGTTAGAACTTGACCAGGCATGCAAGTATCTGCGAGATTTAGTGGAAAAGAAAACTAGACACAATTTTATTTTAGCCCAGGAACACTTTTACGACCATGGCAATAAAAGTGGCAGGTTTCTGGCACGGGCCTTGCAAGCTAAAAAAGCATCACACACCATTCATAGACTTAACTCGAAACAAAGTCATCCACTTAGAACATCTGCAGATATCGCAGCCGAATTTGAGCGATATTACACCGAGCTTTATAACCTCCCCTTATCACCTAAACCGACAGGAGATGATAGACCACGCAAGGACATCATCCAGACTTTTCTGGCCCAATATCTACCTAAAGCCATTTCTCAGTCACAAGCGAAAGAACTAGATGGGGCTTTGAATTTGACGGAACTACAACAGGCCATTGCTCAACTGAGGCCGGGCAAAAGTCCGGGACCAGATGGTCTTATAACTACCATATACAAATCCTTCATAGATGTCCTAGCACACCCATTTTTAAAGGCCTTCAATTCGCTAGATACACCAGGTCAATCCATGCTTTCTCTGAAGCCCACATTATATTGATACCAAAAGACAATAAAGACCAGACATCGCCGGCAAACTATCTCCCGATTTCTTTACTGAATGTCGACCTTAAGATTTTTGCAAAGATTTTGGCCAATCGTCTACTGAGCATTATTGACACTATTATTTAAACTGATCAAGTGGGGTTCGTCCCTGGCAGAGAGGCTGGAGACAACACCATCAGGGCCATAAACATACACCATTGGCTGATACAGAAGAGACAATCTGGCTTCTTCCTCTCTCTAGATGCGGAGAAGGCCTTTGACAGACTGGCATGGGACTATATGAAGGCTGTTTTATCTGGCCTCGGGCTTCCTCCCCGCTTCTTGAACTTCATCATGTCCCTATACACGACACCAACGGCTAAAGTGAGAGTAAACGGTCTCCGCTCAGATGCCTTTTCAATACGCAATGGAACAAGACAAGGATGCCCATTATCCCCCCTCCTATTTATCATCACTCTTGAGCCGTTTCTGCAGTGCATTAAACAAAATGACAGCATTAAAGGGATTGCAATTAATGGCAAAACACACAAAATCGTGGCTTTCACTGACGACATCTTACTTTTCTTAACAGACCCACATATCACATTGCCTAACCTACTATATGACTTCAAGCGGTTTCAATATCTAGTCAATTTTAAAATCAACTTCAATAAATCTCAAGCCCTAAATATTTCCTTACCACAAGACACGCTTCGTCAGGCAAAACTTAATTTTCCCTTTACCTGGCAGTCCGTAGCCATCAGGTATCTAGGAATCCAACTACCGACCCATCTTGCAGATCTTTATGCCCAGAACTTCTTACCCCTCCTCCGCAGTATCACTAAAGACCTGCAGACTTGGGATAAACCATTCTTCTCTTGGTTCGGCAGAGCAGCGATTATTAAGATGAATGTGCTTCCTAGAATTCTATACCTACTGCAAACAATTCCAATTAAACTGCCGAATTCCTTTTTTAAGTCTTATAAAACTTTATGTACCTCGTTCCTATGGTGTAACAAACGCCCAAGAATCAGTTTTGACCAACTCACTATGCCCAAAACCAGTGGATGTATTGGGCTACCGGACATTGCCGCTACTATAGAGCATGCCAAATGGCTAGAATAGTAGATTGGTCTACGAATCATAGTCGAAAAGCGTGGGGTCAACTTGGAGGCAGCTTTCTTGAAGACCCCACTTGTCTCGTCTCCTTGGCTGAAAAGTGCACACCTTCCTATTGAATTTACGGGACACCTTCTTATAGGCCCTACTTTAGCCTGTTACCATCAGATAATTAAGAAATCGGACTTCTCTTCTACCCCAGGCCCACTCTCATCCATTACTATGAACCCAGACTTCCCCCCGGGTTTGTCACATGCATATCTTGCAGGATCCAGCCACCCAAATAATCTGAGTATGCACCAACTCTTTAAAAAATGGGACATTTCTATCTAGAGACATCATTTTAAACAAGTGGCCACTCCGGACCTTAACGCCATGGATGTATAGACAACTACACCATTTTGTTCATAGTTCTTTGCACATAAACAAATATACCAGACCTCTTACCCCATTAGAAAAACTCTGTTCTACAGATTCCCCCAAGAGACATGTTATATCCCAGCTTTACTTTTGCCTTGAAAACAATATTGCGGTTCAGTCTAGGAAAGCCTGTATAGCCTGGAGCTCTGACCTACAACTCCAACTAACGCCGGAAGACTGGGATCATATTTACTCACTTATTCACAAGGGCTCCATATGTGTTTCCACACAGGAAAGCAACTTCAAATTATACTCTAGATGGTACAGAGTTCCAGCCCTACTCCACCAGTTCGATCCCACTATCTCGGACTCTTGTTGGAGATGCCACCTGGCTAAGGGTACACTCAGGCACATTTGGTGGGACTGCCCACTGCTGCAGCCTTTTTGGGGGAGAGTTCAATCCACAATTTCACGAGTGACCACGTATAGCTTGGAGCTCACCCTGCACAATTTCTACTGCATCACTGTTTCACTCCCATTCCGGACATATCGTAAATCACTCACCATGCACATGGTTAACGCCACAAAACAGTGTGTCCCAGTCCACTGGCATTCGACAAATATTCCCACTATCCATGAATGGTTTGCGAGGATCAGTAGAATTGAGGAAATGGAGGAACTGATCTCTGTTGCCAAGGAACATCCCGAGAGATTCAGGAGAACTTGGGCCTGTTGGAGGGACTTTAAAACCACCCCTACCTACCACCTACTAATGCAACAATGATTGACTAGACATATCCTGATACTGGGGAATGTCCTCTTTTCTGAGATACCTCTTGATATATGCCTAGATATACCTTAGTCCTTCACCAAGCCTTACTCCCTTAGAACCTGTATCCGCATATTACCCGATTGACTGTCTTGATACGCACCACGTCCTGAGCTATAAGTAGGTATTTTTACTGTGGCTCATTTCACAGGTTGAGAGTCACTTATCCACAAACATTCACTCCTCCTTTCCGTTTTACCTCACCCTATGCCGTCCCCCCCAACCCACTCCCCCCCCCATTTTTTTTTTTTTTTTTTTCTATACTTACCTTTATCACCTCATTATTCTACTTACTAACTAACCTTCTCTCTACCTGATCTCTAGCTCCCACCTATATTCTACTCCTATCTTCGTTTTCGTACCATAACCGATACAGAACGCTGTCCTTCAAACAGACGTACTACGCCCCATATCACTCACACATCCAATTCTTTGACTCGTGAAACAAATCCAAAGCTTTAGCATGTGCTGTTCATATTCTGCATCATACACTTCACACTCCTATGACAGAAAATACTGCTCAAAGGTCAAAAGACAATATATCTCTGTGCGCATTCTGTATATGCTGTACACTTCCTGGATTGTAATATTATGTTGACACAATGTTTTACAATGTTATGTTTTGTATTGTATTGCTTGTTATGCTTTGACCCGTCTGCGACACGGGAAGCGCCATACAGTGATATGTCCGACCTTGGATCCACATCTGTACATGTATTGTTATGACTGCTTTCTTCTAATAAAAATCTTTTTTGGGAAAAAAATAAAAAAAATAGCACTCACGCAAAAGCAGCACCCCATCTGCGACTGTGCCCCCAGATCTGTGACCACCCCCTATGAGCTGATCTCAATTTATAGGGAGATGGTCAAATGAGCACTCATCTCCGCCCCAATTAGGAACTGATAAGGATCACATGAATAGGGGGGATGTTTCTCAAACACAGACCAGACACAGGCCACAGTCGTGAAAAGAGTGCAACAAGAGGTGAGAACTAATCAACATAGACAAAAATATATATACACTATTTCATGGAGCAGAAGAGTGACTGGGATGGAACAAAAACTGAAATTGAAGCCCCACACCACTGCTAAGAGGTCCAGATGCAACTTTATTCATTAACAGTTAGGGGTACAATCCAAGAAGTAGCCAATGCGATTCGAGGGTCCGAGCGCTGCCTTCATCAGGGCTTGACTGAAAGTGAACCGGACCTACAATTGTATTTTTTGTGCATTGTGAAATACAAGCATCTTGTGTAGCCGCCAAACCTCTGTTTTTTTCCCCATTGTTGCCAGTCATACCCTGATGAAGGCTGCACTCTGACCCCCTAAACCGGCTTTTACTGGAATTAAAATTGTATCTGGACCTCTTAGCAGTGGTGTGGAGCTTCAATCTCAGTTCTTGTTGCCTTACACTACAAGTCAGGGAGATGAAGATGTGGAGATCCTCGGGGGTGTAGAAGCCACCTGCCCAGGAACCAGATCATTTACACCAACATCAATGCCTTCATAGAAAAATATCAGGAAGAGAACCCTACAGGTCCAGCGCCATCTTTCCATCTTCTGTGCCTGGCTGCCACTGAGCGAGCTTTGAAAAAGAGCCAGGCAATATCAGCCGGCCCATCCAGGGTGAGCGCTACAAGTGTTGTCCAATAATCAGTGGTGGCTTAAAGTGGCTCTAAAGGCTGAAGAATGCATGAAGGTAAAAAAACAGATATCACCCAGGCTGATATCACCCAGTCCCCGCCCTACTCTGGACCAATCAGTGAGCAGTATGGGTGGAGGAATGGATTTAGTGTTCATGACCCACCTGTGCTGATCTCTGTAGGAGTGTCCTCCTCTATAAATGTCCCCGTTATTCCATCCTCCTCCATAGACTGCTGATCATCCCTCACATACGCCTCTTCTTCTTCTGCTTTCACCTCAAATTCTATATCGATTGGATCTCCACTCTAAATCAAGGAAATGAGAGAAAATATCATCTAAAAAATGTATGAATGATTGTGACATCACACACAAAATCCACACATTGTCTCCACAGTCCATGTTATAGATGCTCCGTCCCACCAACCTTGTAACAGTGAGGGATGGTGTGACCTTCCTGTGTGGAATCCCGGGAATACAGAGGACGGGGACATCTCTCTGGTGGGTTCCTGGTATTAGGTGGCTCCATCATATCCTTGTGTCCTTCTGAAAACTCCTCCATCACTCCATACTCCTCATCCTCCTCTTTATACTCTTCTTTAACATCAATATTATCATCCCCGAGGATTCCACTCTGAAAGATATAATAAAACATTCATTGTAACAAACATGCTGTGTATAAATCACAACTACCAATAATTGTCATCATCTACCTGATGATGGTGAGGGATGGTGTGACCTTCCTGTGTGGAATCCCGGGTATACAGAGGACGGGGACATCTCTCTGGTGGGTTCCCATGACTGGATCCATCTGTAGGAAACACACACACTGACTGAATCCATTGTTTCTATGTGTTTATCAGATGATGGGGGATCTAGGTGGATCCTCCGTACTGCTCTCTCCTTTACAATAAAGTCTCCTCTTACCCGGTGATGTGAGGGGCGGCTGATTGTCCATCATGACGTCCTTGTAGAGATCCTTGTGTCCTTCTAAACCATGTAGGCCAGCTTTGGGAGCAAGATATATTATCATCAACTCCTCCCCTTAAGGGGTTAATCTACGTATTACCTCCTCTGCCACCAGATCCAGAAATGCCTTCGCTTTACTTCCTCATTTATGGAACTTCCTGCCTATACCTGGCATCACTTCCTGTCTGTACCTGACATCACATCCTGTCTTCCATAGAGACTTCCTGTCTGGGTAGAAGGGAGGTGTATTATCCTGTGGCTCTATGGTGACTGGGAGTCATCTCCTCATAGCTGGGATGTCATTGTAGTTGATGCTATTATACAAGTGACTACTCTATGGAGGTGTTGTGTTACTTTCCTCCCCTCCCCCTCCCTTTTCCTCTTCTGTTTTTGGATAGTTGTCATGAGTCAAAGATATACCCAGTAATGTTATGGGGGGTAAAAATATGTAAAAAATGTTTTTCGCTGCTACTAGAAAAGAGGGGACTATTGGGACGCAGCGCACACCCGGCTATACCACTAGTAACAGACAACAGACAGAACATTGATGTTGCGCTAATCACAATAATGCCGCAGACATTCCAATACAAATCATGAGATGAGAAGACAACAGATGATACACCAGAACATCATCAGTAAATGGAAGGAATATGGGAGAGAAGGGAAAGGTGAAATCATAAAAGTACAAAATGAGGAGCAAAAGGTGTAACAGACAATAAATCGTGACCGCGGGCAAAACGCACGGAAATGATCCGGGAGAAATAAAATATGAACTAAATCCCAGTAATAGTGGGACATAGGAGTCCGTCACAACATACATGACATAACGTGAATACAACTGATGAGAAAGTGGAGCAAAATGTGAAAAATACAAAATGAAGGGCTTAATATGAAAAGTGGACAAACCACTTATCACAGAAGAATGACAATAACAACGCACAGCGCGGCCAAACATTGTGACCGTGCGACTAAAGAGTCACCACAATGTGCAACAAAGGCCATGTGACATAAACCGACACTGGGCCCCCCTGGCAGTGATGCTAGGGGGGCTACTGGGGCCCAGGGGTCCACTAGGGCTAGGGTGGCCCGGAGGTCTGGCTGTGGTGTGAAGGGGTCACAAACTGGTAGCAGAAGGGGCCAGGCTTCCTTCTGAGAAGAGGCAGAAGCTGAGGTGAGGACCTCACCTGGGGCTGCTGCCTCCCCTTTGAGCCCAGGAGAAGGGATATCAAGGGGAGACAGAAGGTACCGGGCCCAGGCCCAGTCCAAGTTTCCACCCTTCTCCCATGATGAGACCTGGGCCCTGGTGGTTGCTTATGTAGAACGGGCTAAATGCATCTCGGGGGCCCAGGTCCTCCCGCAGCGGTCAGGCAGCAAAGGACCGTCTGTGGGAGGAAATCACGGTGGCCGTAAATGCAGTGGGCAGGATGGCACGCCGGGATCTCAAGAATGTGAAGAAGCGTATGCGTGATCTGAGGCAGAATTTAAAGGAGAAGCTGACTCTGTGGGCTCGGCAGGGACATGTTACAAGGTGAGGAGTGGACCCTGACCATCTGCAGGACCTGTCTCGGGCAGAACAGGCACTTCTGCCAATCATCAGCCTCAACACAATTTTTGGGGTGACGGCTCATGAAGATACTGATGAGTGGTAAGTACACTACACATTTCCATATTGTGTCTTCAAAGTTGTGTTATCTCTTTACCATTTGTTGTTAATTTTGTCTTGTGTTGTAGCCAATCCTGAGGCAGGGGCAGCCCCAGCCAGCCCATCAGAGGATGAACCAGAAGATCACACATACGCTGATGAAGAGATGTTCCCTCCCGGTAAGCACTCATTGGGAATGCACCCCATAATGTTGAACAGGCTGATAGAACATCAAACATCATCTCACATGTCAATGTCCTATTCACAGCACAACATCAGCAGGAGGAGGAGGAGCGGCTCCCCCCACTGCAGCCAGGAATGGAGGAAGATCTGGGTATGTATTAATGTGCTTGTCTACAACAATCATAATCACTCAGGATGAGCCAATGAGCATCCTCTTAGGAATGCAGAACAAACCAATGCTAAACTCTGTGTGAACACAAATATATCTCCACAACACGCTGGATTTCTTTGGGGTTCCTCACTGTATTGCGCTCAAACCCCTAGAGAAATCAGTGTGAAAAACTGTTACCACACAGAAATGTGTCTAATCCCTGCCAAATGTCCTGGGACCAGTTTCCCCGGACCAAGAAAAGCAGGTAACCCCACCAAACCAAATGGGGGAACTAACTGATGAGAGCAATAAAGTTCCAAACATCACTAACTAGCTGACATCTCCTGAGCGTTCCAAATCAGACTCATCCTCGTAACTTCACAACTTCTCCCAGACACAAAAACATTCCACACATGTAAAACACATACATGTAATCTGACCAACGTCAACATGCTCAACTCTGACAGTCCCAGAATATCCAATGTGTTTGGTGTTTAGTGACATCATATATCATGCCTGCTCAATATACAGGAAATGATCCACTACAGGGACCCATCACCTCCCAATCGTGCCGCTCACCTTCAGGTTTGAGCCACACAAAGGGAAGGTCAAACACACTTTGGTCACCACTATGGGTGGCAGAACTGGCAACATTCCTCCACTTCACTTGGAATCAGTAAGTCTCATTTTAAGGCCGCAGGTCTCCAGGCAAATCCTTGTTAAAATTAAAGCCCAAAAGAGCTCATGCTTGTTTACATTTCCATTCAATGAGTTTATTGGCCCCTTAAGGATGCTGATTTCCGGAGTAGTGTTTAACCACTTGTCACCCGCACTGTAGCTGTTATTTGGCTACAGTCCGGGGAGGGCATCCTATGACATCCTCCAAGAACATGCCCTCCTGCACATCCCTGGGGGAGCTCACACGGCGATCTCAGGGGCCGCTGTGTCCTATGGACACAGCTGATCATGTGATGTGGTAAAAGGCCAATCACAGCGGCCTTTTACCACGTGATCATGGCAGATCACCAGAAAATGCATAGTAAAACTTGAGGTCAACATCAAGAAATGTAGTTACTCACCAATTGTCAAGTTCCAAGTGACGGTGACCATTCTCCCATTGCTCCAAATGTAAAGGCCAAAACAAATACATACAAAGACTGAGTATTCTTGGACCCATTTTCCCGAAGCCCAAAAACTCAGCCAGATCAAAAATAAAAGCAAAAAAAAATGTCACTTTTGGCCTCTCATGTAAACTTGGGGCCAATAATTAGACTGAGTTTTGCACATCACATGACTAGCAGGAAGATCTATTCCTTTGTCAGACTTATCCACCGAGAATCTCAGGATTGAAGTCGCCTAAAGTCCAAAAGGCATCATAAAGACTAATCTATTGGTCATTGACAAATACACTATATTGCCAACACTGCTGGGATGACTTCCTTTCCACACACATGAACTTGAATGGAGTCCCAGTCTTAGTCTGTAGGGTTCAATATTAGTCCCGCCCTTTGTAGCTCAAACAGCTTCCAATCGTCTGGAAAGGCTGTTCAATCTTTTTGGATATTCTGAGACTGCCACATGAGTTCATTATTTTCTTTTTCACATTGAGTTTGCAGGAGACCTGCGGTTTAAAAGTGATTAAAGGAGTTTTGGATGCATTGCTCTTGCTCTCTTCAGATCCACAGTTATATCAACATTTCTTTTGGATGCATTTACATGTGTGTGTCTGGCTTTGGAAATATTTTAGGGAAAATTTATATTTGATTTGACCCATTTTTTTTGTTGGGTGACCCTTCTTTAATCCTTTTCGGAATGTTGCCCTAATGACAAATGTTATATATTTTGTTTTGAAGTTTGAAGTCCATAGTCAAAATGGCTGCAGTAGCTTATGGGCATAATGGAGCCACCCTAACACATCTGCCCTCCTGGACTGTGGCTGCCAGTGTCCTATTTCTCTGGATAAACTTGGGTGAAGAACATACCAATGAGCAATCCCTCCAAACCATGGTCACAAATGTCACATCATACATACAGCCTAACTAGTATCCGTTACTAATCATCATCTTGAACTCTATTTACAGATCATCTTTGCCCCTGGAGGCCCCAGCTGTTGGAGTGGGAGAGGAATCTACATCTGATGTTGGGTACGGGAACTGCCTGTAATGGGTGTGGGGATGGACAAATGCATGATACATGTTGTATTTGGGAAATGTCCATGCA